GTTTTTGCTTATAAAAATATGGCTTTAAGTGTCCTCTATACGATGGTGAAAACCGCAGGCCGCTAAGACCTTTCGTTAAAAAGTTATTTGAAAAACGGCAACCGGCACGACCTTTCCGTTTCGGTAGTAGTTTATTTTGCTCGTACTGATATTTTCTATTTCAAATTCACATTAATTCAATTCAGCGAACCAAGGAAAACCTCAAACAGTTTCCTATCTTCGTACCATAGGATGAAAACGTCATCGAGATATCGGGAAAACCGATACGGAAAATGATCACATTTATCGAAGAAGTTCAGTTCATTTAGCAGAACAAAAAGGTTTGCGTATGGTGGGGGGCGTGGCGTCCCATTACGGTACCAAATATTTGCGAGTAAAACTTTCCTGCAAAATGGAAAACATTATTTCCCAATACTAGCTTGAGGAGCTAGATCAGACTCTGACGAGTGAGGGGTATATCCGCAGCAGTTTTATTTTCGAATACAAAGTTCGTGACTTTAGCTGCTCCCTCATAAATGAACCAAGTAATGAACCAATTAAAATAGCAATGAGAACATTAGGTGGATCAGAACGTGATCCATAAATAATTCAACGTAAGGTACAATAATTGTAATTAATGTGACGACGACCGGTTTCGGCCTAAAAATGGCCCTTTTCAAGTAACAATAAAATAGCACAAAAATACCATATATAAGTAGACAGTTAGACTGTTAGCATGCGTAACAAGTGAACTAAAACGGCTGCACTAAAATGGCTGTATTGCAAGAAGAATGAAGAATCGAAGACTTTTTATTCTTCGAACGAAGATAAAAACCGTTTACGCGCACTATGGATAGAACTATGTCCTACGGAAAATGAAAGTGATCTCATTCGACATCTTTACTGCAAAATGCTATCAGACATATTAACAATCATGAGAGCGTCAAAATACGCCTAGGTTGATGAAATATTAGAGAAAGCCCCAAAAGTGGAGGAAATGTATCACAGAAACAAATCTGAACCTCAAACACATGCAAACTCAAATTTTCAAATACAAACCTCTTATCGAAATTCATCACTAAATTTTCAACTACGACGGTTTCAACCAACGTATCGTGCATCTAATTTCAACTGTTATAAATGTGGTCGGCCCGACCATATCGCAAGAGAATGTATGCAACCGGGTAACTATCTTCCATGATATCTAAAAAACGAATAAGGAGTCTCCGTGGGACGTTGCTAAGAGACTCCAACAAATTCGTCCCCAACACGATTCGCCCTCAACTTCACACAATTAATGTGGATAACTTATCGCCCTTAATAGTAGAAGGGAAAATCAACGGTCTGGTTCAAAAAACAAAAATCTGGTTATTGATTCGGGATCCTCATTTACCCTTATCAATATGAAAATATTAAACAAATTAGGTTCCAAAATCATTACAAGACTTCGTGAACTCCCAACACATTTACAAATCCAGTTAGCCGTCTCTGTCTCTCTCTCGCTATCTCTGATAGTTCATCAAGAAACAGGAGGAAGAGGGCAGTTAGACTAGAATTAAAGAAGTAGACGGGCGTGTAGTTGTAACCTTAGTGTACAAATCGTTGTTTTTGTTTTGAAATAAAAGAGTTTCTCGGCTCCAAGATACCGTACCATTCCAATACTTAACCTCAATAACCTAGTTTAGCGTCGTTGTGGACGTAGCGAATACTATTTTTTGAGAAAACGTCTCATTCAAAATTCCGATGGGCCGATTTCTGATCTTATACGTTTTCGTCCTTTGTTCAAACCAAAAATGTTACTCTTCCTCCTATAAGACATCTAATTTTAGCCTGGATCATTTTAGTTTTACAACCTTTTTTATTGATCAGTTGCATATTAGTTCTCTTTTATCCTGCTAGTTAACACGTGGTTTTGGAAAAAGATGATAGCGGAGCTATTCGGTACAATTATGGAAAAAGGATGTTTGCAAAATTTCGTGATGCATTCCCCACACAACAAGACAAATAACCTTTTTGCACGACGATGTAGTTTTTTTCAAAAAGTTTTCCACTTGGTTTGACATGGAACCAAGCTGCAAGATGCTACACACGAATAATACCTTTGTTTCGCCTTATTTTGTAACTGATGAAACGCAACGATCAGCCATTAGAATTTCTAAGTAACGGCACGATTTTCCTTCTAATGCTAGAGAATTGCTTAGTGTCATTCACTGTCTGAAAATAGCAAAAATTCACTTACAGCAATATAAAATCCGCCCTGTTCGACTACCGGATTGGCATACACATTTTTTTCAAAGAGCGGCGTCTTGACAGGTGTCTTTTTTGCCTCATCCTAGCTGATCCAGTAATGACAAACTTCCTTTCTCCCATTGTCGGCATGTCCTTCGCGGTCGGTCCGAATCAAAATTAAAACAGTAAACAAGAATTTAATAACAGTTGCTATCATTCTGAGAGGAAAAAACATAGAAACTTATTTTTAGACATTCAAAACAAGAATATAGAAATAATATAATCAAAACTCTCGAAAATGGAAGAAAATGAAACGCTCCTTTTGGGAAAAGCTCAATAATGAACCAAATACTCTTACTTCATCTTATGTAAGTGATAGGAAAACACGGAAAAAGGTGCTGGAAGAATTCTCTGTTAATAGTATGTCATATATGTTGTGGATATCAAAATAACAGTTACCTAAGATTTAGAAATTCATTTTAAGCTTTAGCTTCGGCACATTTCATTGTCTCGACTGAATTGGCGATAGAAATCTGGAAGATATGGCGGAAATATTGCTTATCCAAAGGAATAAGCGCAGGGTATATTGGTGTTGGTCTATGAAAAAACAAGTATTTTCAAATCTGTAATCGAAATCTAATTGTCGTACCCTTTTATAGGTGTTAACGATATAATGGACGAAACGCCAGACAGAAATATGGCGACCCTAGAATTTTTCATAAATAGATAAGCCTAAGTTTTACTACAGCATGCAAAAATCTCAGATTTCTATTGTTTTTCTATTATGTTATTCAAATAATAATAGAATCTATTCTGTTTCGTACCGAATAATAATAAAATTATCTAATCACATCGCATGCACCTACCCTGTAGCTGAGAACATTTGATGTAACATATTCTACGACATACAGAATAGAAAAAAAAGCAGAACGATACAGAAAAAGAATGTTTTCCCCTTACATTGAACTTTCGTACTTCGTTTCTTTTATTTCTTACGTAGAATCACGCTTCGCACACTAAGAGTATACAAAGAGAGGTTTGTCGAACAGTTACACTTTACGGAAGTCTTAATCTAACAAAAAGCTTTTCAAGATTATTCATTATTTATCTGGTTTGAATACATTTCGCTGTTCATTGTATATAATTGTAGAATGAATAAACTATTTCGCGTACACTTAACGTTAGACTTTTCAAAAATGTTGTACTCTATCTTAACAACTGAAGTGTTGTTTCAGTTAGGCCAAGTGAATCTAAACCAGAACATTACTTCTTTTAACTATAGACGGATCCAACACTTTTGTTCTAATGTTTATATTTTTTCAAACAAAAACAATCTGATGTGACACGAGAGGTTTTGTGAAAAAATTCGGATAATGCGTCAAAATTGAACTTTAAAATTGAAGAATGTTCATCCGTTGATCTTTCTCGTATCTTCCAATATCGAATTTTTCTACGATGTCTTATGAAATTCTTGTCGCAATTCACGAGAACAAAATCGAAGAAAGCTTCAGCCAAATAGAGGGAAATATAGGTTCAGAACTTTTTCTCGTATTTTTGATGAGGTGCTTCGTTTGCGGCAATATTCCAATAAAATAGAACAAAACAAATTTAAAAGTAATAATCTGTATCGAAAGTCGAAAAAGGATATTTTCTATATCATAATTCATATAGATTAACGAGTAAGTTATCTAGAACAATTTGATAACCCGGCCCTTGTAAACTGCCGAAATATGTTTGATAAGTGAATGTCGTCAAATTTGTCCAGTTTAAATTGATAGTTGCCGCTGGTGTTTTGTTTAACGTAAAATTCTTCGCGTATATCTTTGTCATTAAGCGTAAACCAGTCAAAACCAACTGTGTGCCATCATATTGAAATGCATTTGCAAAAAATGAAAGTAAATCAAATCTATCTGTTGAATTATTCATAACAGCTACTTGCATATTTGTTCCATTTGCATTTAATATAACATATTGACCGCTTTGCTTTGCTGATGTAGATACACCAGAGAGAATAGAAGTATTAACATACCATGCTTCGTTCCAATGCAAGCAACCGTAGCCATTTGGAACGAAATTTTCCGTACTTAATTGGTAACAAATATTGTCAAATGTTAAAAGCTTACTTCCATTACAGGTTGATTCTTGAATACACTGTTCTAACATCATAACATAGAAAATATTTCAATAAGATTTCAAAATATCTTTTTCACTTTCAACGACTCACCTGATGTTGTAATGTGATGAACTGTAGCAGTAGTTATTGGTTTCTGTGTAGACGACTGAGCAGAAGTAATCATTGGCGTGCTAAATGCTAGAAAATATTCTCTTAATCAACTCATATGTTTTGGAATTTACAAGCCAAGAAAAACTTAACTTAAGCCTTAAGCCCCTGTAATAGCTTTAACCGGAAGAATTTCTATGTTTGACGTGTTTTAAATGTTTGTGATATAAATGTCAGGACAGATACATCGATCTCATATCGAGTTTATCTATTTTCCTGCTGCAATCTATCGGAATTAAAACTGCCTGACTTTTTAGATACTAATAACTGCCGAAACATCTTGACTAACAATATTCTTAACAACAGTAAAAGATTGGTTTAGTTTTTCTTTCTGATTATCTGAAAACGCTTCATTAGTTATGTGAAAAACGGAGATGAAGAGGACTTATAACATATTCAAAGATTTTGATGTTGACAATAATGAAAATTTTGCGTTAAGCGTCTGTCAAGCAGTCTTAAATAACCACTTACAATTCGTGAACAGCCGGTGCAGATTTACATCCACGACAACACAATTATCTATCGAACTTAGGTCATCTGTTGATATTAATATCTGTGCGAACAAGCGACATTCACTAATATTTTGTTTAAACTCAGCGGTATTACACACACCATTGTTCAGACAGAGTACTATACATGGTAGTTTAGAGCCAACTGTGACACTTCCAATGGGTTCAGCAGTGATTATAGGTGATTATTATGGAATGAGAATTTCCACAGCTTGACTTTTGTTCTTTCTTCTTTAAATCTAACAGTTTTTTCTTTATAGATGGACTACAGCTAATTGAAAATATGATGATACTCATGTGTTTCATTGTAATGTTTTTGCTTTAAAATAGTTTATTTATTGATGCATGATAAAAATGGAAACGGAAACTGATTAAAAATTTATTGCTGTAACTGTTTCCTTTCTATCAGCTTGAACAAAATAGCATTTAATGGAAGGAAGGTACCTTACAAACACATGCATTCAACAAAGTAGAAGAGATTGACTATAATTTTCAGCTGTCCGCATCAGTAGATATTTCTCCAATCTCTCTGAATATTTTCCGCCCGTCGTTAAAAAGAAATTTCTACTTTTCTCGATTGTGATTGGCTTATCGATGAAATATCTGTCAGTCGTTATTCCGCATTTGGCCCACAAACACATATACCCACAAACAAACAACGATTTTATAAGATTCTCAGCCGGATCCACTGGATATTGGGACAGAAGATCAGCAGCACAATTACATTTGCCTTTCGTATGTTTGACTTGAATGATGCTGTATGCCGATAATTCCATAGACCATCTGTCAATGCGAAAGAATTATTCCCTCTTGTATCTCCAAAGACTTGATTGGTTTGGAGGGAGACGGGCAACAATTCAGGGGCTTGGCTGGTATTTCTTTTTTTTATGAGTCTGTTGGCACTCCCATGCAAAACACTTTGCTGAGAGCATTAATAAGGGCCTCATCTAACATACGAACGCGCCGACGTTTGAGCGTTCCTCGAATCTTGAGAAAGTACTAGACAAGGAAACGTTAACAAGTACTGTCCTCATTACTTAACTCGAGTAGTTGTGCAAGTACTTGGCTCAAGTCCATCCAGTAGGGATGTGAGCCAAGTCAAGTACTTGGGTGACACAATACAAGTAAATTTACTTGAAAAAGTTCAGTCAAGTACTTGTTCTATTTATTTTTATTTTATAACATATTCTGGAGCTATACAGTACTTTTGTACAGTAAATACATGTACGGCTACTAAGTTTGTTCAGCTCAGGAGACATATATAAGTTTATTTTATGAGCGTATAACAATTGATATTGTAGTGTTTATATAAAAGTGGTCAATGCAAAACAAAAAGGGTGACTGAGTCGTCCAAGTACTTGACTGCAATAAGTCAAGTCACGACATTGTCAAGTGCTTAACTTGTCACGTACTTTACAAATACTAATCAAGTATTCAAGTATTTGTATCAAGTACATTTACTAGGGATGTTTCCATGTGACATATTGTAATAAGATCTTACGATATGATTTTGCACAATCTTGCTATAAGGTAATGTAAGATCTTATGACAAGAATTCATATGATCTTGTAAGATCTTATATAACCTTGTGACAAGAAATATATAGAAGCCAATAATATCTGACGTAAGATTTTGTAAGATCTTATACACGATCATGTGAATCCTTGTCATAAGATCTTACAAGATCTCTTAAGATCGATGACTCATCTATACATATAGGTTTTGCGATGATATATAGTACATATATATAATATCGTTCGACTGAAAACTTTTTTTTCTTTTCAACTTCACACGTTAGCTGAGCACATATGAAGTGCATGGTTAACGAATGTGACAAAAGACGGCCCATGGTCGCCTAGAACCTGTGAATGTTAGAAATTATACAGAAAAAGAAAATTGCAGAATAAAATCTTATGATTCCTTATAAAGCAATATAATTTCTTATAGCTTCTTTCTGTGAGATCTTATAAGACTACACATGATCTTGTAAATTCCTGTCATAAGAAAAATCTTATGAGAATTTTGCTACAAGATGTCATATGAAATCTGGTAAGATCTCATAGGAAATTGATAAGAATTTATATGATCTTTTGAAATCTTGTAATTTCTTATCGTATGATCCTCCAAGATCGTATATGATCATGTAATATCTTCAAAGGTCTTGTTATCTAATTCTTGAACCTGGACAAGGATAAACGTTGCTGAAGTGGCTAGTTTTAAGTCAGTTTTTTTAGTTCATGCACTTATCTATGTATCTTTTATTCCTGTATTTCTTAAAGGTGGCAAACATACACCTATGCAGCAAGGTTAATTATATTTGAAATGAAAAAGTTTGATTGAGCAAACATGCAATGATACGATTAGCTATACGAAAATATGTGATACTTTCACACACTTAAACGTAAAGGATGAATAGTATATGATACTGGAGAAAAATAACAAGGACAGTCTCATTCACTTGATGTTTTTCTTCAACTGAGAAGCTAAAATTAGATTTCTTGGAGCCTCTGCTTGTTTTTTTACTTCTCATAAAATCTGAAGTTAAGTATTAACACTTCCAAAAATGTGTTGTACGATTTATTGTTGCATCTACAGAGTATTATTCATTCTAATTTTCGTGTATGATGAGAGTGAATAATAGGACTTAAAAAGTTCCCGTTGTGCTGATTTAACGGTAACTGTATTTCAGTTACCATTAAAATAAGGGTAACTAATTTATCGGTTAGCATTAAAACAACGGTAACTGGAAACACAGTTACTGTTACTTTAACGATAACTGCGTTTCCAGCTACCGTTGAAATAACGGGAACTATCAGTTAGTTAACTTTATGGCAACTATTTTTTATGTATGGCAGAATATCCACGCAGCGGCTTAAAATGGCTTCGAAAGTCGCTAGTTTTCCACTAAAACTCTTGAAACTTGGCACACACGTCCCAGTCAACTAAACTAATCAAAATTATATAACTGCAGTGTTTCGTAACTGGTTTTTAAGATCTCTGGAGACCTCAGCATCTACAGCCAGCTTGAGAAATCTTTTTTGTTTTCATCAATGAAATTAGACTACAAAACCATGTCATTTATAAAAGATTCAGCAGTTTTAGTGGAAAACTAACGATTTTGGAAGCCATTTTAAGCCGCAGCGTGGATATTTCTGCCATACTTAAAAAATAGTCACCATAAAGTTAACTAACTGATAGTTACCGTTAGTTCAACGATAACTGGAAACGCAGTTATCGTTAAAGTAATGGTAACGGTTTTTTCAGTTAGCGTTGTTGATAACGGCCGAACAAATAACGAGAATTTTTACAGCCCTAGTGAATAACTGTAGTGTTTACATAATTGTAGTGGCTACAATTATTCATTGAAACTGTAGTGTTCACATTTTTCTTTTCAGTTTAGAGATAAACTATTTGAATGAGTGAACGAACGTATGTTTATGTGAGAAAAATTTTCATCATTGATTATACAAGTTTCTTTCAGTTCATGAAATACAAGAAAAGAAAAGTAGTCGAGATCAATTCAGTATTCACAACTTGTCAGTCTACTCTGATTGTGCCCAGAATATTCGAAGGAAATGAAATACAGTTTAGTCAGTTCATTTCAGTCGTTAAACATGCTCATCACACTCCTAACAATCATTTTTTTAAATAACAAACTTCTATCCGAGTGTGAATGGGCATAAGTCTGGGTTCGCCGGGATGCCATTAAAACAATACAAAATTGTAACAAAAGATAGCACAAAACTCAGCGACCTCTCATTTTACAGAAAAATGTTTGTTCTGTATTTTTCAGATTCCAAAAAGTTTTTTGTGCTCTTTTCGAATTGTGTACTTTTCATAGAGGTTGAAAAACCCGAGCATAGGCTCGTAGCATCCCAAGTTCAAATGTCTACAGGTTTTTCTAGTTCAAACATGCGTTCCACATGTCTATATGACAACTTACTATGTAAAGGAGATAATATCCACCCAACTTTAGGGAACCCGTTTCTTTAAAAAAGTGTTAAAATCTCCGGAAATGTTTTGTTAATATTTTCTATCTCTACGACGTGAACAAGGCATTATATTTACTGTCACATCTTTGATTTCTTTAACTGATACAAATATGATGAATGTTCACCCGAATACCCGAATTCCATCTGATTTATAATTATATCAAATAATGTTTCATTCGAACAATCAGAAAACTGAGGCAAAGATTTTGAAATTAATGTATTTTGCACTGTAGGTCGTCGTAAATATGCTATTCATTTGATTTAATCCTTTCATAAATTGCATTTATCTATATTATCGTAAATATATAGTTGTGACATTCTTTCAGTTATTACGGGAAGTGATTGACCGAATTTCTTTAGATAAATGAAAGTAATCCGCAA